CTGGTTGTTTGTGGATGACTACCTTTAATGTAAGAAACTTGAACAATGTTACTTTAATGTGATTAGGAAATGCATTTTAATTTATCACACTACTGACAACAGCATATAACAAAAAGCAAAATGTGAGGGTTCTAGTCTTAGCATTGTAGCACCTTAAGTGAGTCTCTTAAAAAGTTTATTGGGTTATTATTCCCCTTCCAAAACTGAGTGGGTCAGGGGTCCCTTTGATTACCCTGAAGCTCACTACACTGATTCACAGCACTAAAAAAAAAAGCTTTTATACTCACAGTAACAGTTTATTACTATTCAAGGATACCGATTAAAATGAACAAAAGGAAAAGGCACATGTGGAAGTCCAGAAGAAACCAGGCATAAGCTTGTAGGCATGCTCTCCCAGTAGAATCACATGGACACACTCCCAGCAGTGAAATATGACAACATTTGCAAAGTGTTGCCAACCAGGGAAGCACACTTGAACCTCAGTGTCTAGGGTTTTTATTGGGAGCCAGTCCCATAGACCTGCATGGCTGACCTCAACTGCTCATTCTCCAGCCTCCCAGAGCAAAGAAGTGGTCACTATAAATCACGTTGTTAGCATAAACCATCTGATTAAATTCAAACCCTCTGGCCCAAGGGCTCATTTCCCAGGAGCTGGCCAAGGTCCAATCCTGAAGATAAGCCTTTTCAGGTATGTGCAGAGTTTGAGCAACACAGGCCTCCTGAGTTAACTCTTCTGCACAGTGTAGAATTATTTGATAGCTGAAGTCCCTTATAATTCTAATGTTTTATGAATGAATTAGTAACTTCTTGCATATATTTTGTAAATAACTTAGTGCTTTCTTTTGTCTCTCCTCTCCCCCTCCCTCTCCCCTCCCTCTCCTCTCCCCCTCCCTCCCTCTCCTCTCTCTCTCCTTCTCCTCTCCCTCTCCCTCTCCCTCTCCTCTCCCCCTCCTCTCCCCTCCCTCTCCTCCCTCTCCCTCTCCCTCTACTCTCCCTCACCCTCTCCCCTCCCTCTCCCCTTCCTCTCCCTGTCTCTCCCTCTCCCTCTCCCTCTACTCTTCCTCACCCTCTCCCCTCCTCCCTCTCCCCTCCCTCTCCTTCTCCTCTCACCCTCCCTCTCCCTCTCCTCCCCTCTCCCCTCCCTCTCCTCTCCCACTCCTCTCCCTCTCCCTCTCCCCTCCCTCTCCCTCTACTCTCCCTCTCCTCTCCCCCTCCTCCCTCTCCCTCTCCCTCTACTCTCCCTCACCCTCTCCCCTCCCCTGCCTCCCTCTCCCTCCCTCTCCCTCTCCCTCTCCCTCTCCCTCCTCGCTCCTCTCCCCTCTCCTCTACTCTCGCCTCTACCCTCTCCTCCCTCCCTCTCCCTCTCCCTCTCCTCTCTCCTCTCCCTCTCCCCTCCCTCTCCCTCTCCTCTCCCTCTCCCTCTCCTCTCCCTCTCCCTCTCCCCTCCCTCTGCCCTCCCTCTCCCCTCCCTCTCCCCTCCCTCTGCCCTCCCTCTCCCCTCCCTCTCCCTCTCCCCTCCCTCTCCCTCTCCCTCTCCTCTCCCTCTCCCTCTCCCTCTCCTCTCCCTCTCCCTCTCCTCTCCCTTTCCTCTCCTTCTCCTCTCCTCTCCCTCTCCTCTCCTTTCAGTTAACATTTGATTAGCAATTACTGATGTTTTTAATTCCCTTTGCATTGATGATAAATTTAAACATTTTTAAATGAAAAACCTTTGCACCATTTTTCTACAATTGAGTAAAATGCTAGTTTTACTTGTCTAATTTAGTATGAGTTCTCTCTGTTACACTCATTTTGTTGTTTAGCGCAGTATTCCATATTTAGCCCCTGTTCTATAACTGTTATCTTCATCTTCCCATTGTTTATCCTTGATCCATGGTTTTCTAATTGAGAATGGTTTTATTTGTGTTTTTATTAATTTTTCTTGGGTGTGGCCATTTAACATGTTTGAGTCATATTTTAAATTTCTTTCATTTTAAAAATGTTCAAAAAGTTTTTTTCTAAATTGAAGTATAACTGGGTGTTTTTTCTCCCAAGTTCATAATGTATAACTTTGATATAAAATTCTCAAAATACCATAGGGAACAATGCACTTTGTTCTGCATTTAAAATTACAGAATATTTGAAACTGTTATATTCAATTTAAAGTAGAGTAAGACCTTTCTAAAATTTAAAAGAAATAGTTCATCTGAAAAACAAAAATCACCACTGGATTTACTTTGTATAAAAGAAAGCTTCTTAGTGTCCCAGTCTAATTAGTCATTTTATTTAGAATTAACCCCATATACTAGAAATGGGAATTGCTTGACATCTTAAAAAAATTATTTCCCAATATGTTCTACAGTTTAAATTGCCTATCTAGTAAACCCTTGTGAATTTTGCTATAGCAGCTAGCCTTTTTAATCAATTTGAAGGGTAATCTTTAAAAATATGAATACGTTAAATTTTATGTTTAAATTATAAACTATTACAAATATTAAATTCAGTCCAAGAATAATGAAAATAATTGTTTAAAATTTCTCCTTTTAAAAATATACATTCTGAGTTAGAATATATATACATCTAGACTTTAGAGCAATTAAGAGATGATTTGTAAATCCTGGCACTTTAGCATAACTTCTCAAAAAAGACTCCACAGCAGCCTCTTGGAAGGATTCAGAAAGGCTGTGGGTTCAATTTTCTCTTACTTTCTGCGGAGCATACAGATATTTGAAGTATTTATTTCTTTGTGATAACACATCAAAGAGTCTTATTTTGAAAAACATTACCTGATCTCTTCTAAATAAAAGTATAGGAAAAGAAGAAATAACTTAATGCTATAGTAGTATATTATTTATTGAAGTTTTTGCATTGTCTAAAAAACCATTTGATTTATGAGTTCCTCAATGTCTACTATGATAACACTGAACAGAAATTTTAGTTATGGCACAATATTCCTATCAACACAGTTTGGCTACTTAAATACCATTTTTAAAGTTTTATTATGAACATATTTTAGGCAGTAGTGTTCCCTTTTAATTACACATGGTTATATTTAAAACTAACGTGTTAAACAAATTGGCCACAAAATACTAAAATATGGGTGTTGTGGTAAGGAAAGTTTAAGCCATCCAAGTGCATCTAAATTTCACTTTGATAGTTTTAAGTTAAATATTTAATTTTAGGCATTATTTATGGCACATGGTGCTTGTTCATATAAAATGGTGTAATGAGTTTTTTATTACATGAAGATTGGTAGGAAATGCAAAGTGTATTAGTTTCCTATGGCTGTTGTAACAAATTACCACAAATTTAGTGGTTTAAAACAACGTAGATTTGTTATTTTTAGAGTTCTGAAGATTAGAAATCTTAAAATCAAGATGTTGGCAGGGCTATATTCCTTCCAGAGACTTTAGGGGAGTTTCAGTTTCTTGCCTTTTTCAGCTTTTAGAGGCCACCTGCATTCCTTGACTCATGGACCTTTCCTCTGTCTTCAAAACCAGACCTACCTACTCATGCACATTAGGGTTATGTGATAATTATTAATATGGAAAATTTTCATTTTTGTATAAAATCATCTGTCATTCCCTTAGTGGAATGTTCAAATTAAAATTCTCTTAAACATGAAGAAGGGTGTGTGATAAAATTATAATCATGTAGACATTGCCACTAATTTTACTTATTTCCTTTTTCTGCTTTTCTGTGGTTTTTTTTGTTTGTTTTTAGTTTTCTAAAATAAATCTGGATTAATTCCTTGCATAATAGTAAAGTATTTTATGGCTTATATATATATATATATTTTTTATCCTCACCCGAGGATATTTTTCCATTTTTTGTACAGACAGAGTGGGAGGGAGAGAGAGAGGAAGGGAAAGAGAGAGAGAAACATCGATGTGAAGGGACACATCGAGTGGCTGCCACCCGCACGACCAACCAGGGCCCGGGACAAACTGCAACCGAAGTACGTGCCCTTAGCGGGAACCGAACCCGGGTCTCTTCAGACTGCAGGCCGACGCTCTAACCACTGAGCCAAACTGGCCAGGGCTATGGCTTATATTTTTTAAAATTAAGAATTAAAATGAGTTATTTCTCAATAAATCTCTACATTTGTCTATAAATTGATGAATTTGCCAATGTCCTATAATGTCATTAAAGTAAGATTTTCTTTAAACTTAAGAATTCTTGCCCTGGCCAGTTTGGCTCAGCGGTTAGAGCATTGGCCTGCAGTCCGGAGAGACCCGGGTTCAGTTCCTGCTAAGGGCACGTACCTCAGTTGCAGTTTGTCCCCGGCCCTGGTTGGTTGTGCGGCTGGCGACCACTCGATGTGTCCCTTTCACATCGATGTTTCTTTCTCTCTCTCTGTTCCTCTCTCTCCCTCCCACTCTACCTCAACAAAAAATGGAAAAATGTCCTCGGGTGAGGATGATAATAAATAAATAGACTTAAGAATTTTTAAATTAACATTTTGATTTATTTCAATCTTTTTTGAAACATTTTTGAAAATGTTTTTTGTTTTGTTTTTTTAAATATGTTTTTTATTTTTTTAGAGAGAGAGGAAGAAAGAGAGAAACATCAATGTGAGAAAGAAACATCGATTGGCTGCCTCCTGCACACCTCCTACTGGGGATTGAGCCCGCAACCCAGGCGTGTGTCCTGACTGGGAATCAGACTGAGACCTTTCAGTCCATAGTACAATCCTCAATTCTCTGAGCCACACTGGCTAGGCAAGAAAATGTTTTTATCCTGGAGATTTTATGGCATATTGAATATTCTGGCTTTCATACAATCTGAATATAATTGTTTTAGGAGGATCAGTTTTTATTTCATAGCTTTTTTCATAGTATGGTAATTTCTTACTGTGTGTGATAGGAGTTATTATCTTCTAAAAGGTAAAAATTTAATATCAGATTTTATTTCTTAATATCAGATTTCTTAAAAGTAAAACATAAGAAGGAATTTAACTCAGTAATAATGACAGTTTAAAATTGGACTCATAACTAAAATTATGTTGTTTTATTTTTTTACAGGAATTGAAACCTGATATAGTAACTAAATCTGCTCTCGGTGATGATAACAATTTTGAAAAAATCTGCAAAAAGGTATATCTGCAATGGATTCTATTTCCTTTAGGAAAAGTTACTTTTTTATTCTTTTGACTTTTTTCTTGATAAGAAAACTTATCAAGAAGCCAGGTATTATTAGTATATAAAGAATTTTTTCCACTTGAACTCCAATATTGCCACCCAAAAAAATATTTTATGGTAATTTATGACTTTTGCTTTGCTGTGTTATCACATCTTCAGGGTCCTGAAGTAACTTAATATGATATGTATGTGTTAGATAAAGGTTTCTCACTCTTACTAATTCAAACAAGAATCATTATTTTTATTCTTTCCAAATAATTTTCATGAATAGTTAACTTGATCCCTGCAGTGAATCATTATTTTTAACCCCCTTTACAAATGAGAAAAACTGAAAGAATGAAGTAAGGTGATTACGGCTACATACCACTGCTATGTGGCACAGTTAGGACTTTTACCCAGATCTTCTCCTTGGATTTGCCACTCCTGCTTCTTCCTTACTGTTTACCTTTTTATATTTCTGCCCACTTATATTTAATGCCTACATAAGAGAGTTCCAACTGAAAACAGATTTTGGTTTGGTTGATTTTTCTATATTGCTTTTTTCATTTTCATTGATTTTGCTCTACTCTGTATTATTTGTTGCTTCTTGCATTTTATTTACTTTGCTCTTCTTCTAGTTTCTTAATGTGGAATTTAAATTACTGATTTTTGACCTTCTTTTCTATCGTAAGCATTTAATGCTGTGTATTTCCCTATAAGTACTACGTTAGCTACACCTCATATATTTGATGTTATATTTCCATTTTATTTGAGCTCAAAATGTTTTTCATTTTCCTTGACACTTTATCTTAGACCCATAGTTTAATTAGAAATATATCCTTTAATTTTTGAGCAACTAGGGGATTTTTCGGGTATATTTTTGTTACTGTTTTCTTTATAATACCTGAGCATCCTTTTTTTTTTTTTTTTATCCTCACCCAAGGATATTTTTCCATTTTTTGTACAGATAGAGTGGGAGGGAGAGAGAGGAAGGGAGAGAGAGAGAGAAACATCGACGTGAAGGGACACATCGAGTGGCCGACACCCGCACGACCAACCAGGGCCGGGGACAAACTGCAACCAAAGTACATGCCCTTAGCGGGAACCAAACCCGGGTCTCTCTGGACCGCAGGCCGACGCTCTAACCGCTGAGCCAAACTGGCCAGGGCCTGAGCATACTTTTTTAAAATAAAATAATTTTTATTAACTTTTAGAGAGAGGAAAGGAGCGAGAGAAACATTGATGTGAGAGAGATACATTGATCGGCGTCTGCCTCCTGCACACCCCCTACTGGGGATTGAGCCCAAAACCCAGGCAGGTACCCTAATGGGGAATCAAACTGCGACCTCTCAGTCCATGAGACAACTCTCAGTCCACTGACCCACACCAGCCAAGCTATTCTTTTATCTTTATTATTTGTGTTAAGATCCAGAGTATGACTTATCTTGGTGACTATGTTATGTGCACTTGAAAACAATAGGTATTCTATTGGGGTCCTATATTAGGTCAAATTGGTTGATGGTGTTGTTTAGGTGTTTTATATCTTTACTGATTTTCTGCCTGCTTGTTTTATTGATTACTGAGAGAGTTATGTTGGAATTGTCTGATATAAATGTCAGATTGTCTATTCCAGCCTTAAGGAAAAATATACTCTTATTCTCTATGTAGACTAGCACCGATTTCTCTACAATTGATGTTAGAGATGTTAAATATAAAAGTATTTTATTGTAAAAAGGCCAGAATATAAAATGGTTTTGTTCGTTTGAGGGGCATGAGGATTTGTTGTTGCCATCATTGTTGTCAGAGAAGCAACACCAACATCAGGAGCGTCATTTATTTTGTATTACTATGATTTTACAGTAAATATTATTTCATAGCATTCATTCATAAAAGTATAAGAAAAAACTTAGTTTTGTTACTGTTTTAAACTTGTGTTTTGGTCTGTATCTGATGCAAAATAACAACACCTTAAATTGAATAGTGGTAATGGTATAAAAATATGGCAGAATATATTTTTGTTTTTTCTTAAGCGTTTTAAAAAATATAAGATTTTTACCAGAATAAATTTTTTGAACTTTTTGGTTACTAAGTTCTAAAGGTATTTCATTAATGTTTAATTTGTGGTGAGAGTAAAAAGCCATTTATTTTTAGTTCCCTAATAAAATTATGTTTTCATCTAAACTCGAACAGTAATACTTGGCAATATTTATTACTTAACTTGAACTTGGAAATATCCAAAATAAAATATCCTGTGTCTGTCCTTTTTTTTTCTTTTTAAACTCCTCAGCCAGATTGTTTTCAATTTGGAGGGTTAGTATCAGTTAATGTATGTGTAATATATGTAAAATCAGTTTTTTAGGGTATTGTCTGTCTTCTATTTACAGCCTTTTGTTCAACCTTTCCAGTGTTAGAAATATCTTAAATTGAAAATGGGAAACAAATGTCTATATTAGCTTATCATTATTTTGTAATAGTAAATTCATTTGTATATGACTAGATTTGTAGTCCTGAGATTTATAATAGTAATTCAGATGGAAATTGGATCTATCTGACTGAAATATTGTGAAGTGAAACCTGATTTCATTTCTGCCCTTTGTACCTTCCTCCAAACAAGAGGAAGGAAGGGTGGTGGGGAGGGAGGAAGAGAAAACAGTTCTGTTTCATCAAGTTCTTGAGAGATCCCTTGAGGGAATTAAAGCCAAAGGAAACTGCCCTGCTTAAGAATAATTTCTGATTCCCCGTAAGCTACAGTATTTGATTTCACCGATTTTGTTAACTATTTTATTTTCATTTGTAATATTCTTCCATTGGAGTCAGGTTCTTCCATATTGAAATCAGTTAATAAATTAAACTTCTAAAACAAAAATGAGGCTGGCAGCAGATGTTTGGAGGGAGGATTGATTATTAGTTTGCCATAGGAAGGGAGCTCAGTGGAAGATGACCAAATAGGAAATAAGTCTATTACACAGAGCTCTGCACATTTTAGGTTATGTGACCATCAAAACAGAACAAAACAAATTTGTGTAACATTTTATAACTTGCCCAATTCTTCCTAATGCATTCTTATCTCAGTTGATCTTAAAACAGTGTAAAACAGTGATCTCGTATTGAAATTATTTGTGTTTGTGCACGTGTGTGTGTGTGTGTAGTAATAGTAGTCGTGTCTTATTTTTCAAATAAAGGAAAGGAGGTAGAAAAGTTAAGTAGCCTGTTAATAAGTATGTGATGAGAGTTTAAAGCTAGAGAGTTTAGGGATTGGAACGCTGACATTGCCAGGCAGCTTTTGCCAAAATTTCAGGAACGTCTCAATTCAAAACATCTGTTGCATGCATAGCAATCAGGCACTGTGGAAGATATGAAAGGAATAGAAGAAAATATATGTTTTTTTAATTGTTGACACTATTATAGATATCCCCTGTTTCCCACCCCTCTTGTTCCCCACTCCACCCAGCCCTCCCCTCCCCTCCCCACACCCGGTCTTCACCACACCATTGTCTGTGTCTGTGGGCTATGCATATATGTTCTTTGGATAATTCTCTTCACTTTATTTTCTCCAGTCTCCCCACCTTCCTCCCCTCAGAGATCTGTCAATCTATTCCATGTATCCATGCCTCTGAATTTATTTTGTCAGTTTATTTTGTTCATTAGATTCCACATGTAAATGAGATCATATGGTGCTTGTCTTTCTTTGGCTGGCTTATTTCACTTATAATAATCTCTCCAGGTCCATCTATGCCATTGCAAAGAGTAAGAGGTCCTTTTTTACAGCTGTGTCATATTACATTGGATATGTGTACTGCAGCTTTTCTAAAGGACTATGTAATCCAATAGAAATAAAAGACAGTTATATTAAATAACTATAGGATAAGAGGAAGCATATCAGTACTTGTTAACATGTACCAGTTGCCTGACTCATTAGGTGCTTTACATATGCTAGTTTTCTCAAAGAAGATGATAACCCCAATTTAACAGATGAGACAATGAGCCCAGAAAGGTAAAAAATATACCTATAGTCAGGCAGTAGGAAATGGCAGGTGCAAGGTCTAAATCTAGGTTTCTCATCTTGGCCTATAAAACGAAAGTTTAGGACTAAAGGATGGAATAAGTTTCCATATATGTAGCACTGTATTTTAGAATAATGCTCTCACAGGGATTATGAGTTCAATGCAGAAAGTTTTCCTGTTGCCTTAAATGTGAACTCTAAAACTTAGTTTGCTTAGTTTGCCATAGTTCGTTGAATCTGGCTGAATGGGATGTTTCTTATTGTCTAATTCTTTTTTTTTAATATGTTTTTATTGATTTTTTTAGAGACGAAGGGAGAGAAACATTGTTGTGAGAGAGAAACATCGATCGCCTGCCTCCTGGGCACCTCCCACTGGGGATTGAGCCCATAACCTGGGCATGTGCCCTGACCGGGACTTGAACTGGGACCTCTCAGTCTATGGGACAACCCTCAACCACTGAGCCACACCAGCTGAGCTAAATGTATTTTAGTAATACAAATATTAATGTGTTGATTTATATCCTTAGGTAAAACCTAGAATTGAAATCAAGTCCAATTAATATTAAAAGTACTGCTACTAGCATTCTACGTATAGCAGTTCATTTAGAATCAATTTATTTTAGGCATATTTTCAAAGGAATGAATATGTAAATAAGAGAGCTTTTACATTTTTAGACTGTTTATATTCATATGTACATTCTCAAAATTCTTTTTAAAATTGAACACCATATGCTTTGTTCTCACAATAAATACCTTTATGCCAAAATAAAAATTTTCCATCAAAAAATTAGGTGTTTTCCCTTTTTTATTTAATTTATTTGAAATGGAAGAAACTGGAGGTGTTTTAAACCACAGTTTCCTGAGAATTTTCCATGGCAAACATTGTGTCAACTTTAAATAAGGAAACCTGTGGTTCCTTTCATAGCCCACAATATTGTGAAGCCTTTCATGCAGGTGTAAAAACTATTTGTTC